CAGTTAACATTTGGGGTCAATAGTTTTTTTAAAAGTAATTAATACTTTTATTAATCAAGGACACATTCAGTGTCACTTTCAGGCGCAGCTATAATGTTACGAAAGATTCTATTTCAAATAAATGCTGTTCTTTTGAACTTTCTATTCATCAAATAATCCTGACATATAAAATGTATCACAGTTTCTACAAAAATATGAACATGGATAATAATCAGAAATGTTTCTTGAGCAGCAAATCATTAGTGACTCGCACAGGGTATTTGTGGCAATAGCCAACAATACATTGTATGGGTCAAAATTATCAATTTTTTTCTTTTATTCCAAAAATCATTAGGATATGAAATAAAGATGTTTTATATTTTGTAAATGTCCTACCAGAAATGTCTAAACAATTATATTTGTGAGTGAATATAGCAATATCGCAAACATAAATGGACAACTTTAAAGGCGATTTTCTCAATGTTTCGATTTTGTAGCACCCTCAGATTCCAGATTTTCAGTTGTATCGACCAAATATTGTTCTATCTTAACAAATCATACATCAATAGAAAACTTATTTATTCAGCTTTCATATGATGTATAAATCTCAATTTCAAAAAATTTACCCATATGAGTGGTTTTGTGGTCTAGGGTTACATGTTAGAGTGATTTCTGAAGGATCACGTGACACTGAAGACTGGAGTAATGATGCTGAAAATTCAGCTTTGATCACAGGAATAAATTACACTTTACTGTATATTCACATAGAAAACAGATATTTTAAACTGTGATAATATTTCACTCTTCTCATCAAGGTACTCCGCTCTTGCTGCAGGGTAAGAATTTTTTCGCTTGGCAGGCAGTGGCATCTGGTAAAATAGTTTTAAATAAATAAATAGGCAATAATAAATACACTACAAATAAATGCAGTATTACTAAACTGAAATTACATGCTCTATTTTTTGTGCATTGTTCTCATATTGTACAAAGAGTGAACATAAACTGTCTGAAATATATATAAAAAAATCCCAAATTGCATAAAAATCTATTCCAAATGATACTAAAGCAAAGTACTTTTTAATATAAACCGTCGATTGAATATAAAAGCATAAAACTGCCAATCTAGGACATATATCTATCATTGAAAACAGTCTGCAGTGGTCGCACCACATGATATTTTCAAATTCAGTCATAATTTACAGGCACAGAATTGGCCACCTAAACAAAACAAGCTAGCTTGCCAAAAAAGGTCACTATGAAATTTATAATAAAAACATATATATTTATGGAAATAACTTTAATATTAAAAAAATTTTGAGGTCATACCACATGACATCCAAATTTGGAAACTACATACCAACCATTACAATGGTTTTTTTTTTTCCAATTTGAGAGAATTACAAACCTGCTTGCTGCTTCCATGGGTCCTTGGTAAATTGGTTTATGATGTAACTTCCTGTGTTTGAATGGTTTTCAACATATAAGTCCCAAAATGGTAGTTCTTTGATGGTCGCACCACATGATATTTCATAAAATAGACATCATCGGACAAAGTTTGTTTGTATATTATGATGGAAATATAAATGCAAATCCTTTTTTTAAATGAAATTTTTTGAATGAAAAATATTTTGGAAATCATGCCAAATAGTGCAGAATATAAATTTGAATAAATTCAGAGTAATTTCAAAGATGTTTTCAAAACAGAAGTTATGGCCGGACGGTCGCACCACATGATGTTTTGACACTTTAAATAACAACAACAAAAATAAAATAAGTAAAGGTTTTTGAAAAGTTAAAGTGAGTACATACATGGGAGAGGTACTACAAATATGCAGTATCTTTTTAGGCATTTAAACCCATTTTTGCCTGAAAAAATGCAGACGGGCAGAAAACTTAGGCGTCACGTCATTGACCCAAAAACAACTTTGACAAACCAATTACAAATGTTTTATTGAAAGTGTCATCTATTAAATCCAATTTACAAACCATTTAATACAAATAAATATGAAGTGTATGTGCTATGAGTTATGTTATTTTGTTAAATGGCTGGGCTGGTTTTTTATTTACTAATCTTCCTTTTTATTACATGAATAGCCTATTTTATAAAAAAAAAATGTCTACAAAAATGTATAAAACTGATCCGAGATCAGGTAAAAGCAATAGTTCATGGGTTCAAAGAGATCATCGCCCCCTAGCGGCGACCGTAGATATTTGTTTTTATTTAAAGTAACAAAGAGTCAAATGGACACGCCCACATAAAGAGAATCACCAGAACCTTCAAGTTACAAACAAGATGCAATAATTCTAGAAAGAAAATATCATATTGTTTCAAGAATATGCCATTTGAGGAGAGGATCTACCTCAGTCAAAACATTCTGAGAGTGGAAAGTGAACCCCAAAATTTTATGGATAAAAATTTACCAAACAAAATAAAAAAAAATAGGATATATTCCTTAGACTTGTTAGAAGTGTTAAGGCCCGTCCACACCAAGAACGATAACTATAAAGATAACTATAAAGATATCGTTCTGTTTATTCTGTCGCTTTAAATGCTCGAGCTCGTCACATCAGGATTGATTCTGATTGGCTGTCAATGTTTTTATCGTTCATTTGCTGGATAAAATAGTTCTGAATGTGATTCCAACGATATTTGTCTGTGCCGTTATCGTTATAGCTGTGGTGTGAACTCTGCTACTCTTTAATATTGAGAACGACTTTCAGAACTATATTATAAATCGTCATTGGTGTGAACTGTTTAGTAGCCAACGAACCATTGAAATTTCGAAACAGTTATGACGTAATGTAACTGACATCACGTGACTTTAAAATCACAGAATCATCACTGATTGCAACGGTTTCGAAGCTTCACGAAGCAGTTTTCCACTAGTGAACATATTCAAGGTATGACATCAATCAATACTCAAAACTAAACGGAAAAGGAAGATTATTTATCACCCCTAACTAACCAGTGTCACACTATTAAAGTTTTGATGATGGATGACGATTACAGTGACGAACAGGAGTCGTTAGTCGCGCGTGAGTGTCCGAGTTTCCACACACTGGGAATGTTTGTGTTTTGATGTGTTTGGTAATTCCGATACATTCACTCGAGATAAAAATGAGCTAAAATATATTTTCTGATAAATTTACCAAAAATGAGGCGAGTTTAATTTTAAAACAAGAACAAATATCTTCCAATGTGGTCATAAACTCACTTAATTTTCATACTTTTTTCCCCAGATCACAAGAGTTAATATCATGTAATTTTGAGTATCTTGATTGAAGACTTTTTTTTTGTGCTATGTATTTGTATATTAAAAGCTTTTGCACTGAAAGCACAATGTAAATCATAAAATTAAATTTTTCTTTTATGATTATGTTCTGAAAAGTTTTTCATGTGCACATTGGTTCGCATAATAGCTAATAATTATATAGACTCATTATATTTGTTTTTTTTAAATATATTATTTTGGATATTTCCTTCTGTTCATTTTTTTCTGTTAAATATTTTCTGTAACTTTCACCGTTTGCTGAAATTGTTGGATGTGGCACAGAAGTTTATTCAAATGTGCTATTAGTATACTTCTTTTAAACTAAAAAACAAGAAAATATACTTTGTCTAATTTCTCAGAAATATACTTTAAATTACACTTATGCTGACAGAAAAGTCTAAGTATATTTGGCCTATACTTGCACTCAATCTTTTGATCGAGATAAGTATAAAAAAGTATTCTAAGTTTGTCGCCGTGTTGTTTACTCTTCTGGGATTGAGTAGCCTATTAAATACTAGGAATTTGCTTCAAATTTACTTAAAGTACAGTTAAAGGTTAATGTCAAGTAAAGAAAACCTAAATAGACACATGGTAGTATATGTAAAGTGTATATAATATATAAAGTATGATGTTAAAGGGATAGTTCACCCAAAAATGAAAATTCTTTCATCATTTACTCACCCTCAAGTTGTTCCAAACCTCTTTGTTCTGCTGTACACAAAGGAAGATATTTGGAAGAATGTTTTAATCATTGAGATCTGTTTGATTAAAACATTCTTCCAAATACGAACAACTTGAGGGTGAGTAAATGATGAAAGAATTTTCATTTTTGGTTGAACTATCCCTTTAACTTCACTTAAAGAAAACATACAAGTATACTTGCAGTATAAAACTACTAGTAGTTTACTGAGAGTGTACTTCAAAGTGTACTTTCATAAACTAAAAAATGTGTAGCAAGTATTTGACTAGTAAACTGTCAATAAACCTATTAGTTCACTTGTAGTTGCAGTACAAATGAAAAATGTGGTTGTAAACTAGTTGTGTACTCAAAGTTTACCACTCTGAAAGTATACTTTTATACACTAAAAAGTGGGCTAATTTATTCCCAAGTAGTATTGAAACAGTACACTTACAAGTTTACCACTAGTGCATTGATATAAGGATACTTAGTTACTAGAAGTATACTGAAAAATTTACGTCAACTTATTTTTTCTAAGGAATTCTATGAGTGAAATTTTCTAAATGATGACTAAGAATGTCATATTTATGACAAAAGGTCAAAATTTTGGTATAGTGAGTCATAAGCATGAGATGAAAACTTAGTCATAATCATGACATTAAAAAGTAAAAAATCTGAAATTATGACATAGTAAGTCAAATTTTTATCTCACAATTAAGATTTAGTATATCATAATTATGACTTTTAATGTCATATTGAAGATTTAAGAAAACAAAGTACCATCATGTTTTTATTTGACACACACACACACACACACACACACACACACACACACACACACACACACACACACACACACACACACACACACACACACACACACACACACAATAGTACTACCATTGCATTCATTGACATATCTTATATCAGATAAATACCATGGTACATGCATATAGTAATCATAGAAATGCCTATTTTTGTTGGTTTTTTTTTTTTTTTACTTGGTATAATGGAAATATATATATATATACCATTATTTACCATGGAAATTTGGATATTTACCACATTAGGACAATGCAGTTCTTTGAAGTACCCTGGAGTACCATGAAAATACCATGGTAAGTGAATAAGCTAATCACTCTTGTTGTTTTCTAGCTTATGCATTAATACAGCTTATATACTCTAAACTTGCATACCATGAATATTGCTTTTATGATGAATTGCATGTGATGTTTCTCATTTGCAAGTTGCTTTGCTGAATGAATAAATGTAAATCATAGTATTATTCACAGTTTTGTGTCCTGCCTTGACCGCATCTATCTTTCCTCATATCTAGGCCTGATGTTGCACGTATGGATGAACCAGCGAGAGCTCGAGATAAAGGCGTCAATAAGAAATGGAGAATCAAGACAGAAACTAAAAGACTCAGGAAGTCAGTGAGGGAAGTTTAGTGGTTTCTTGCGTCACAGACACTTTACACTGACGCTTGTTGCCGGTGCAGAGAGAAAGGTAAGGACTGGAGGGTTTTCTTAATTCTTCTGTGTTTTTCTCCTCTCAATCTTTAACTTTAGCTTTAGCTTTAGCTGTAAAGATGCCTGATCGAGCGGCGTGTGATGGGATCCGCTCATGTAGGGGGAAAGTCCTGAGTTCGTTTGATGATGTGAACGTGAAGCTCTCATGGCCTTCAGATGTGATCAGTCATTTCCGCTAGAGCACCAGAGGCCGAGAGGAACCAACTCGCTGAAAAATCAGTCGAACATGATGCGAAACCCTCCAGAGGAGTTTGAGACGCAAAAACCGTGGCTGATTTTTGAGTCGATCTCCTGCGATACTTGCTGAAAGATATGAAGATCATGTTGAAATTGTGAGGGTGTGGCTTTGAACTGGTGCAAAACTCACGAACGGAGAAGAGGAAACGGTGGCACGCGACCCAACCCAGCGCTTCGTGATGTGAAGGGTTTCTACAGGAGAGTGTGTCATGGTTCAAAACTACAACTCCAGCAGATGAAATGTTGTTTATATGCAGGTTTGCTCTCCGTTTAGATGTTGTCCTGTTTTTGCATGTTGTGCAGTTCTTTCTGGTGTTTCCTGTGGTTGTGCACCTAGAGGAGTGTTTTATTGCTCACAGGCCGCACTTTCATAATTCAGATGACTTTAAAAAAATGCTTGGGTAACACTTTATTTTAGTGTCCTTGTTACATATGTAACATGTACTTACCGTAGTAATAACAGTCAATTATTCATAATTGCATGCAACTAACCCTCAACCACATCCTAACCCTATAGTAATACATGTAGTTACTTAATAATACTCAGTACTTACATATATAATTACACTGTAACAATGACACCTTAAAATAAAGTGTGACCAAATGTTATTTCTGAATGTTTTAACGTTTAGTGAACATTTCAATTTGCAAACATCCTGGGAAACGTTACATTCTGAAACTTGTAACATTTTTAAAAAATTAGATAAACTAAAATGTGTAAATAATAGGGATACACAATATATCGGCCACTATATCGGTATCGGACGATAAATGTTCATTTCTAATGTTATCGGCCCGATTAAAAAAAGATTTGGCTGATATATTAAAGCTGATAAATAATGTATTGTTTCCTTCAGCTGAGACTCTTCAGATGCGCACTGTTCAACGTGATCGTTTTGAATTGCTTGAAATATGATTGGAATCACTTCAAAAAAGGAAAATACAGTAAAGTGCAAGACAAGTCTGTCATATCAGCTACATAAAATTATACTGAGAACATTATTATAATTGTGTGTTTTGGACATGGATTTTAATGGTGAGACTTTGTTTTTGTAATCAGGCTCTCAAAAATTTTATAAACTTGGGATTAGATTTATCGGCCAATATATCGGTTATCGGCTTTCAAATATAAAGAATTATCGGTATCGGTGCATCCCTAGTAAATAACGTTTTTGTGCTCATGTTATTAAACTTTCTATTTTCATTGCTGGAAGGTTGTTTGTTCATAACGTTCTGAGGACATTCCCTGTTAGTTAATGGAGTTTTCAGTTACGTCCCATTTGAATAATAAAGTTTTATCGGTATTGATCTTAAATCAAAATACATTTACTTGAGATGCAGAATGCCATAAGATAAGAAGTCTTGTTTTCTACTTCTGTCAATTTACCTCTGAGTTTTGGGTGGATGTTTTAATTGGCTGTCAGTAGAGACGCAACGATATGAAAATGTTGGCCGATACCGATAACCGATAATTCTTTATATTTGAAAGCCGATAACCGATGTATTGGCTGATAAACCCTAATCCAAATTTTTATATCATTTTTGAGAGCCTGATTGCAAAAATAAGTCTCACCATTAAAAGTCATGTCACAAGCACACAAATATAATGTTCTTATTATAATTTTATGTAGCCGATATGAAAGACTTGCGCTTTACTGTATTTTCCTTTTTAAAGTGATTCCAATCATATTTCAAGCAATTCATAACCATCATGTTGAACATCTGAAGCGTCTCAGCTGAAGGAAATAATACATTTTTATCGGCTTAAAATGAACATATATCGGCCGATACCGATATGATGGCCGATATATCGTGCATCCCTAGCTGTCAGTATTAATGAAAAGTAATATTCATTCCTTAGTTTATCATGTTTTTTAAGGCTATTTCGAATCCCCAGTTTTCTGTCTTTGTGAACATGGTAACTTTGGTGGATAAAGCTCATGTTCTCACAGAGATTCTGGTCTATATTATCATGAAATCATCACACAGATTTGATGATGTGAATCTCCAGCTTTTTCCCAAAGCTGCTCTATTGGATTGAGATCTGGTGACTGAAGCCGTTTGAGTTCAGTGAACTCATCATGATCAAGAAACCAGATTTGAGCTTTGTGACATCAGAAGGGGTCGGCATCAATACTCAGGTTGGCTGTGACCTCTGACCTCTTGCTTCAATGAGGCATTTCTGGATATCTCCGCTTGTTCAGATCATTCTCTGTGAACACTCGAGATGGTTGTGTGTGAAACTCCCAGTGGATCAGCAGTTTCTGAAACACTCGTCTGACACCAACAACACATTCAGAGTCACTGAAATCAGCTTTATTCCTCGTTCTGATGCTCAGTTTGAACTTCTGCAGACCGGTTTAATTGCGTCGAGTTGCTGCTGTGTGATTGGCTGATTAGATATTTGCATACCTAGTAACTCACCCACACACAACCAGAGACACACACACACACAGAGAGACACACACACACACACTCTCTCACACACAGAGACACACACACACACTCTCTCACACACAACCAGAGACACTCTCTCTCACACACACACACACACACACACAGAGAGACACACACACTCTCTCTCACACACAACCAGAGACTCTCTCACTCACACACACACACACACACACACACACACACACACACACACACACTCTCTCACACACACAGAGACACACACACACACTCTCTCACACACAACCAGAGACACTCTCTCTCTCTCACACACACACACACACACACACACACACTCTCTCTCACACACAACCAGAGACACTCTCTCTCTCACTCACACTCACACACATACACACACAGAGACACTCACACACAGAGACACACTCACACACACACACACACACACACACACACACACACACACACACACACACACACACACACACACACACAGAGAGAGACACACACACAGACACTCTCACACACACAACCAGAGACTCTCACACACACACAGACACACACACTATCTCTCTCACACACACACACACACTCACACACAGAGACACACACACTCACAAACACAACCAGAGACACTCTCTCTCTCTCTCTCTCTCTCACACACACACACACACACACACACACGCACACACAGAGACACACACACTCACAAACACAACCAGAGACACACTCTCTCTCTCACTCACACACACACACACACACACACACACACAGAGAGAGACACACCCTCTCACACACACACACTCACACGCACACACAGAGACACCTCCTCTCACACACACTCACACACAGACACATGCATATGTTTTTCAGTTTTTTCACAAGTAAGTGAGTTTATGCTCTACAGCCTAGATCATTAAATCTTGGAAGAATTTGATAAAAAACTATTATTTCCAAAGAACCATAAAGCAACCCTTCAACAATCTTTATCTTTAAGAGTGAACACAATTATGTTATGTTAAACATTTTCTGAATATTGTGGCTTTTAAAGTATTAATTTCTTCATTTATATAGATACTGTATATTTCATATCTCTAGATATGAAGAGTCGATTCCATGAAGCAGTGCATCAGGATGAGGTTCATCAGTGAAGTTCTGGATCATAAATCAGGATTAAACTGATTCAACAGCGTCAGATATTCGACAACAGCCGTCATGTGCGGTTTAACTTCAGCAGTTCACACACACACTCATTAAACAGCTCACACACACACACGAGGCCTGAATGTTAGAGAGGAGGTGAAACACAAGCAAGATGAGGAGAGGCCGGAGAAAAGGAGGCAATCGGGATAAAGTGTTCGGATGTGATCTTCTGGATCATCTGACCTCCACCGCACAAGACAGTGAGTTATTCCTTTATTCCCACAAACTGAGTTTATCCCACAGACTGAGTTTATCCCACATACTGAGTTTATCCCACAGACTGAGTTTATCCCACAGACTGAGTTTATCCCACATACTGAGTTTATCCCACAGACTGAGTTTATCCCACAGACTGAGTTTATCCCACAGACTGAGTTTATCCCACAGACTGAGTTTATCCCCACAGACTGAGTTTATCCCCACAGACTGAGTTTATCCCACCGACTGAGTTTATCCCACAGACTGAGTTTATCCCACAGACTGAGTTTATCCCACATACTGAGTTTATCCCCACAGACTGAGTTTATCCCACAGACTGAGTTTATCCCCACAGACTGAGTTTATCCCCACAGACTGAGTTTATCCCACAGACTGAGTTTATCCCACAGACTGAGTTTATCCCACATACTGAGTTTATCCCCACAGACTGAGTTTATCCCACAGACTGAGTTTATCCCCACAGACTGAGTTTATCCCCACAGACTGAGTTTATCCCACAGACTGAGTTTATCCCACAGACTGAGTTTATCCCACAGACTGAGTTTATCCCCACAGACTGAGTTTATCCCACAGACTGAGTTTATCCCCACAGACTGAGTTTATCCCCACAGACTGAGTTTATCCCTCAGACTGAGTTTATCCCACAGACTGAGTTTATCCCCACAGACTGAGTTTATCCCCACAGACTGAGTTTATCCCTCAGACTGAGTTTATCCCACAGACTGAGTTTATCCCACAGACTGAGTTTATCCCACAGACTGAGTTTATCCCACCGACTGAGTTTATCCCACAGACTGAGTTTATCCCCACAGACTGAGTTTATCCCTCAGACTGAGTTTATCCCACAGACTGAGTTTATCCCCACAGACTGAGTTTATCCCACAGACTGAGTTTATCCCACAGACTGAGTTTATCCCACAGACTGAGTTTATCCCCACAGACTGAGTTTATCCCACAGACTGAGTTTATCCCCACAGACTGAGTTTATCCCCACAGACTGAGTTTATCCCTCAGACTGAGTTTATCCCCACAGACTGAGTTTATCCCACAGACTGAGTTTATCCCCACAGACTGAGTTTATCCCACAGACTGAGTTTATCCCACAGACTGAGTTTATCCCTCAGACTGAGTTTATCCCACAGACTGAGTTTATCCCCACAGACTGAGTTTATCCCACAGACTGAGTTTATCCCACAGACTGAGTTTATCCCACAGACTGAGTTTATCCCCACAGACTGAGTTTATCCCACAGACTGAGTTTATCCCCACAGACTGAGTTTATCCCCACAGACTGAGTTTATCCCTCAGACTGAGTTTATCCCCACAGACTGAGTTTATCCCACAGACTGAGTTTATCCCCACAGACTGAGTTTATCCCACAGACTGAGTTTATCCCACAGACTGAGTTTATCCCACAGACTGAGTTTATCCCACGGACTGAGTTTATCCCACAGACTGAGTTTATTCCCACAGACTGAGTTTATCCCACGGACTGAGTTTATCCCACAGACTGAGTTTATCCCACAGACTGAGTTTATCCCACAGACTGAGTTTATCCCTCAGACTGAGTTTATCCCCACGGACTGAGTTTATCCCACAGACTGAGTTTATCCCACAGACTGAGTTTATCCCACAGACTGAGTTTATCCCACAGACTGAGTTTATCCCACAGACTGAGTTTATCCCCACGGACTGAGTTTATCCCACAGACTGAGTTTATCCCTCAGACTGAGTTTATCCCCACGGACTGAGTTTATCCCACAGACTGAGTTTATCCCCACGGACTGAGTTTATCCCACGGACTGAGTTTGTCCCACAGACTGAGTTTATCCCACAGACTGAGTTTATCCCTCAGACTGAGTTTATCCCACAGACTGAGTTTATCCCCACAGACTGAGTTTATCCCCACGGACTGAGTTTATCCCCACAGACTGAGTTTATCCCCACGGACTGAGTTTATCCCCACAGACTGAGTTTATCCCCACAGACTGAGTTTATCCCCACAGACTGAGTTTATCCCCACAGACTGAGTTTATCCCCACAGACTGAGTTTATCCCCACAGACTGAGTTTATCCCACAGACTGAGTTTATCCCACAGACTGAGTTTATCCCACAGACTGAGTTTATCCCCACAGACTGAGTTTATCCCACAGACTGAGTTTATCCCCACAGACTGAGTTTATCCCACAGACTGAGTTTATCCCCACAGACTGAGTTTATCCCCACAGACTGAGTTTATCCCCACAGACTGAGTTTATCCCACAGACTGAGTTTATCCCACAGACTGAGTTTATCCCACAGACTGAGTTTATCCCACAGACTGAGTTTATCCCCACAGACTGAGTTTATCCCACAGACTGAGTTTATCCCCACAGACTGAGTTTATCCCACAGACTGAGTTTATCCCCACAGACTGAGTTTATCCCCACAGACTGAGTTTATTCCTTAATTCTCACAGTTTTTCATGTGTTTTTCTGCTTGAGTGCCTGAACATTCTCACACACACACACACACACACACTCAAACTCTCTCTGTGTTGCAGTTCCTCAGGTGTTGCGCAGCTGCGGCGAGTTCATCGAAGAACACGGGGTCGTGGACGGGATCTACAGACTGTCTGGAGTTTCATCCAACACACAGAAACTAAGGTGTGTTTGTGTGTGTGTGTGTTTGTGTGTGTGTGTGTGTGTGTGTGTGTGCGTGTGAGTCTGTGTGACATTTAAAGGCTTGAACACACTGATAGAGGAGTTCCTCTCATTGCAGGAGTGAGTTTGACTCTGAAGGGTCTCCGGATCTGAATAAGGACGTGTATCTGCAGGACATCCACTGCGTGAGCTCCGTGTGCAAAGCATATTTCAGAGAACTGCCCAACCCTCTGCTCACATACGAGCTGTACGACCGCTTCGCAGTGAGTCTCCCACAACATGAGCTGAGAAAGGCATTTAAATAGCTTTAAATCACTGCTAATGAAGAATGTAGATGTTGATCAATATGCAAAGCGTTGGCTGATATAATGCCAATATTTCATAAGATATATAATGGCTGTATTATTCATATATATGATACACTGTTTGAAAGCAGCCAGCTCACAAAAATATGCTCTAACGTTACCATTAACCCTTGTGCGTTAATTACTAAAAGTTTAACGTACGTCCAAAGAGTTTGTTTCTTTCTTTTGATATATTTCATGTTCATATATTCATTCAACAAATATATTCCGGGGGCCATGAAAATTTTGTGAAAATTTTGTGGAGAAAGTTTTCGGGGTTCAAGGTACTTTTATTATTTGTCACATACATGTGATGCAATGTAGTGAAATGGTTTTCCCCTAGTTTCTCGTCACACAATGCAAACATACTAACTACAATAAGATAAAGAGAAAAATAAATAAACTAAATTTTGAAAAACATGAATATAAATAAAATCAATATATGATCATATCTGTATTTGTATGTAATGTATGTGTTTTTACGTGGCTTAAAAGTTCTCCAGACTTATGTAACATAACGGTGCATTTCAGCAGTTCATCTCATGTGCTTTAAATGAAGACGTGTTGTGCGCTTTTAAGACGTGTTGTTCTCTGGTCAGGACGCGGTGGCTATTCAGCTGGAGGACGAGCGGCTGGTGAAGATCCGAGAGGTTCTGAAGGATTTACCGGCTCTTCACCACAGGTCAACACTCAACTAACACACACTTCATTTACTCAGTGCACTGCAAAACATGTTTTTCTTACTTAGTCTCGTTTCCAGTCCAAATATCTAAAAATCCTTAAATCAAGATGGATGAGTAAAATGACGTAAGATATTATGTCCTGTTTTCCGGGGGAATTATTCAAAATTAAGTTGATACTTAAAAAAAAAGCTAAATTTTCTGCCAAAGGGGTCAGAGAAATAATGTTAATTCAAACAGAAACAAAATTATTTTTCTTACCCCATTGGCAAATAATTTAGCTTGTTTTAAGCCAAAAATCACTTAATTTGATTTATTTTCTCAGAAAACAAGACTTAATATCTTATGGCATTTTACTACTTTAGTAAATGGATCTTGTTTTAAGAAATGTTAGATATTTGGACTGGAAACAAGACAAAAATACTAAGTAAGAGAAGCATTTTTTGCAGTGTACTCCATATTAGAGTCGTGTGCACGTCTGCTATTAGGTTTGTTAAAGTCATAGTTCACCCAAAAAAGTTGATCACTGATCAGCTAAAACTGAACTAAACTTTATTTACTCTCTCACAAACCTGCATAAAACATCTGGCAAGCTCCAAAAAGGACCAATAAACTAAATTAAAGGATATGGTACAGAAGTCCAGATCAGAGTAAGTTTTGTTGAAGTCATAGTTCACCCAAAAATGAATGTTTCTTTTCGCTGATTAATGGATATGCATGACTAAAAGCCTACATTAAATCTGGTCATCATATAAAGCCATCGAGTCTCTTCTGAAAACTTGACCCAGACAGCAGATCCGGCCCACATCGAAACAATGCTTTTCTTACTTAGTATATTTGTTTTGTATCCAAGAGATTTCTGTCCCTCCATTGACAGCTACGCAACTACCACTTTGACGCTTCAAAAAGTTCATTAAGAGATCGTAAAACTAATCCATACTGCAAAAAATGCTTTTCTTACTCAGTATTTTTGTCTCGTTTCCAGTCCAAATATCAAAAAATTCTTAAATCAAGAAGCATTTACTAAAGTAGTAAAATGACATAAGAAATTATATCTTGTTTTCTGGAAAAAAGAAAAAAAAATCTAAATTAAAATCTAAATTTACAGCCAAGTGTGATTGTGATTGAGTGCAACTCTCTCGAGGATCTTCGCCTTAAAAAGTAGATTAGAAATAGGACGGAAGTTAGAAAGAGAGGAAGGATCTAAAATAGTTTTTTTTTTTTAAGATATTCACCACAGCAACTTTAGGACTGTTAGGGAAGGAACCAGTAGCCAGGCATTTGTTAATAACCAGTAACAGGCCAGGACCAACTGGACCATAATGTGTCTCAGGAAAAAGGTGGAGTAATATCCCGAGGACAGAGAGTAGGGTTCAGGTGTCCAACACTTACATCAGTACTGAGTCCAGATCAGCTCAAACGCAGACCAGATGGAGGAACAGTGGAACAGCGTGAATATTATATACGGTAAATATATATATAAAGTTGTGATCTTATCAACAAAAAACTCCCCCCAGTTGTCCTAGAGAGCAGCAGAGGACTCCTAAACAGAAATGCACAGAAGGATTTAAAACAGAGTTATTAGTGGAAGAGAGAACTTGAGGTTTATGAAAAAAAAAAATTATGAGTTCAGAAAAATATTTGCATTTTGCGGCCTTTGCAGCTTTCTGCAACAAGTGGCACGAATGTGTCAAGATTTCATAAGAAATCTGCAATCGGTTCTTTTTCCATCGGCGCTCAGCCCGTCTACACACCGGTCCAGGGCACGTGTGTGTGTGTGTGTGTGTGTGTGCCGGGGCACGTGTGTGTGTGTGTGTGTGTGCCAGGGCACGTGTGTGTGTGTGTGCCAGGGCACGTGTGTGTGTGTGTGTGCCAGGGCACGTGTGTGTGTGTGTGTGCCAGGGCACGTGTGTGTGTGTGTGTGTGTGTGTGTGTGTGTGCCGGGGCACGTGTGTGTGTGTGTGTGTTTGTGTGTGTGTGCCGGGGCACGTGTGTGTGTGTGTGTGTGCCAGGGCACGTGTGTGTGTGTGTGTGCCAGGGCACGTGTGTGTGTGTGTGTGTGCCAGGGCACGTGTGTGTGTGTGTGTGTGTGTGTGTGTGCCGGGGCACGTGTGTGTGTGTGTGTGTTTGTGTGTGTGTGCCGGGGCACGTGTGTGTGTGTGTGTGTGCGTGTGCCAGGGCACGTGTGTGTGTGTGTGCCGGGGCACGTGTGTGTGTGTGTGTGCCAGGGCACGTGTGTGTGTGTGTGTGTGTGCCGGGGCACGTGTGTGTGTGTGTGTGTTTGTGTGTGTGTGCCGGGGCACGTGTGTGTGTGTGCGTGTGCCAGGGCACGTGTGTGTGTGTGTGCCGGGGCACGTGTGTGTGTGTGTGTGCCAGGGCACGTGTGTGTGTGTGTGTGTGTGTGTGCCGGGGCACGTGTGTGTGTGTGTGTGTGTGTTTGTGTGTGTGTGCCGGGGCACGTGTGTGTGTGTGTGCCGGGGCACGTGTGTGTGTGTGTGTGCCAGGGCACGTGTGTGTGTGTGTGTGTGTGTGTGCCGGGGCACGTGTGTGTGTGTGTGTGTTTGTGTGTGTGTGCCGGGGCACGTGTGTGTGTGTGTGTGCGTGTGCCAGGGCACGTGTGTGTGTGTGTGCCGGGGCACGTGTGTGTGTGTGTGTGCCAGGGCACGTGTGTGTGTGTGTGTGTGCCGGGGCACGTGTGTGTGCGTGTGTGTGCCATGGCACGTGTGTGTGTGTGTGCCGGGGCACGTGTGTGTGTGTGTGTGCCAAGGCACGTGTGTGTGTGTGTGTGCCAGGGCACGTGTGTGTGTGTGCCGGGGCACGTGTGTGTGTGTGTGTGCCAGGGCACGTGTGTGTGTGTGTGTGTGCCGGGGCACGTGTGTGTGCGTGTGTGTGCCATGGCACGTGTGTGTGTGTGTGCCGGGGCACGTGTGTGTGTGTGTGTGTGTGTGCCAAGGCACGTGTGTGTGTGTGTGTGCCAGGGCACGTGTGTGTGTGTGCCGGGGCACGTGTGTGTGTGTGTGTGTGTGCCAGGGCACGTGTGTGTGTGTGTGCCAGGGCACGTGTGTGTGTGTGTGTGTGTGTGCCAGGGCACGTGTGTCTGTGTGTGCAGGGGCACGTGTGTGTGTGTGTGTGTGTGCCAGGGCACGTGTGTGTGTGTGTGCAGGGGCACGTGTGTGTGTGTGTGTGTGTGTGTGTGTCAGGGCACTGGTGCGGGCGCATCGTTTGGATCCCGCGGTTTCCTCGCATATAAAGCTGCATAACTCCATCCCGTCTGAAGTCTATTCGGCGCAGTATATTTTGAAACGTCCTAAAACAAATGGTAATGTCATGTTGGCAGATTGGCACCTGTAGAATTTACTTTTGTTGAAAGTTTAGATAAAAGTAAAAAGCTACTATTATGTTTAGAACCATCAGAAGCAGTTCGACTTCACGAGCGCATTTCTTTACACACACACACACACACACACACAACTTCTACGGAAAACTTCTCATAATTTTGACTTTATTCTCGAAATGTTTCGACTTTAATCTCGTGTTTCCGTAAGTAAATGCTTCTTGATATAATATTTTTTTGACATTTGGACTGGAAACGAGACAAAAATACTAAGTAAGAAAAGCATGTTTGCAGTATGGATTAGTTTTACGATCTCTTTATGAACTTTTTGAAGCGCCAAAGTGTTAGTTGCGTAGCTGTCAATGGAGGGACGGAAATCTCTTGGATTTTATTTAAAACATTTTTATTTGTTTCGAAGATGAACATTTTTTGGTGAACTAATAACCCTTTACGATCCACTGAAACTGTTCTCTTTTTCAACATTTATTTATAAGAGTTCCAACTTGAGACGTGCACAGCTCATATAGACATGGAAAAGACAATCTTACTTAAATCATCATACTTTTATAGTGTTTTTGTTCTTTCTTGAGCTTGACAGAATAACTCAGAATAACTCCCCTTTCTTCAACACTCACTGTCTTCCAGAACTCTGGAGTATTTGATGCGGCATCTGGTCAAAATGTCCACGTTTGCATCCGAGACCAACATGCACTCCCGAAACCTGGCGATCGTCTGGGCCCCGAACCTCCTCAGGTATCTCTCACATAACTGCATTTATACATGTGCACCGCACGTGACTTACGGCTCATTTAGGGAACAGAAAGCTCCCAGAAATGTAGTGTTCTTATACTGAAGTATACACTGGCTGTGTTTCAATCCAACTCATTTAATGCACATTTTGAGATTCGCATACTGATTAAATTCCTCAAACACTCATGTGACTTTGCTCAGCGGAGGCTGTGATTGGATAGCTGGAGTAACCAGTGGACCAATGGCGTCGCAGCGTCTCTAATGTTGGTTCAGTGTTTCTGAAAGTCGAAGTGTGTGATCAGAGTGATTGGGTGTAATTCCCTCCAGAAGCGTCTCACACACACACACGAGTGTGTTCCCGAACACCAGCATCCGAACGCCAGAGAACACGACAGCGTTTACAGTTCACACACTCTCTGACACACACTCGGGAAAACAGACACATTGAAGAAACTAAAGGTTTTATTACTGATATTCTTCACCGGTTTCCCGGGAAGTGACGATTTAATTTCATTTAATGTAATTTTACACTGTTAAAAGTACAGTTTTCGGAAGTAAAAAAGAACAAATCATCTTGATGTCAGGCGTGAAGACGGCTCATGATTACACTATATTTACATGAATCAGCTGCGTTTAGCTGGACATTCAGGGAACAGGGTTTAGTTTAACATCTGCTGTGCCGAGAGTCATTTCTCGAGAGGTTTCTTTACTAAGATTTTGCATCAAAAATACCAAAATGAGAAAATCTCTGCCTGTTGTTTTCAAAAGTCAATTTAAAAAGCTAAGAAAAATGTTTACTTTAACTTTTAAATTCTTAAGTACATTGCAAAAAAATTATGTTGTTCTTGTTTTCCAGCACAAATATCTAAACATTATTGTTTAGCAAAAGGACTGAAGATATTCATTAAAAATGCATCAAAATAAAGTGAGTTTGTGTTTGAAACAAGATCTGCCAATGGAGTCAGAACAATAAACATAATTCAGAGTGAAAACAAGATTATTTTTCTGACTCCATTGGCAGATATTTGTTCTTGTTTTAAACACAAACTCACTTGATTTTGATGCGTTTTTAATGAATATCTTCAGTCATTTTGCTTCTTCTCCAGTAAATGTCTCTTGATTTAAGAATGTTTAGATGTTTGTGCTGGAAAACGAGACAGAAACACTGAGGAAGAGCATCATTTGCAGTTTAAATCTAAGTGTGTTTTTACATCGCTGTTGTAAGTGTCATTCTCTACCAGGAACAGATTTATTTGTTGTTAGTAAATCAGTGCATAATGATCTGCAGATCGAAGGACATCGAGTCGACTGGTTTTAACGGTACGGCGGCGTTCATGGAGGTCCGGGTTCAGTCCATCGTGGTCGAGTTTATTCTCACTCATGTGGCCGAGCTTTTCCCTGGAACAGGTACTTTATCTTTCTTAAAGTCGGCCTGACGGGTCTCTTCTCCTCTATTGTGTCGTATATCGAGTGAAGCGCTTCTGGAACAAGAACACATGTGGGCGGGGCTTGATTGTGTCTGTGGGGGATTGATTGGAGGATTGTATGTGGTTGTGTTTTGCTATTGGCTGATCTCCTGTGAGTGACAGGTTATAGCCCCGCCCACATCATCAGAGAAGAGAGATATGTCACTCTCCTTATTTAGACATTTGTTTTCTTATACATTGCTTTTCTTACTTTGTATTTTTGTCTTGTTTCCAGTCCAAATATCTAAAAATCCTTAAATCAAGATGTATGAGTAAAATGACATAAGAAATTATGTCCTGTTTTCCATGTGAATTAATCAAAATTAAGTGAGTTGATGCTTAAAACAAGCAAAATTTTCTGCCAAAGGGGTCATAAAAATAATGTTAATCCAAAGAGAAACAAAATTATTTTTCTGACTCCATTTGCAGATCATTTTGCTTGTTTTAAGCCAAAACATTTTGATACATTTCCCCAGAAAACAAGATTTATATATTATCTTACGTCATTTTACTACTTTAGTAAATTCATCGTGATTTACGAAATGTTTGATATTTGGACTGGAAACAAGACAAAAATACTAAGTTAGAAAAGCATTTTTTGCAGTGTAGTTATAGAAGTTATATATAATCTTAGATGCATTTACTGGAGAAGAAAAACAATCTGAAAAATGTATGAAAATGAAGTGAGTTTGTGTTTAAAACAAGAACAAATATCTGCCAATGGAGTCAGAAATATAATCTGAATTCAAAGTGAAAACAAGTTTATTTTTCTGACTCCATCGGCAGATATTTGTTCTTGTTTTAAGCTCAAACTCATTTTTATACATTTTCCAGACTTAATATCTTCAGTGTTTGTTCTTCTCCAGTAAATGTGTCTTGATTTAACAGTGTTTAGACGTTAGTGCTGGAAGGCGAGACCGAAGCGCTGAGGAGGAAGTGTGTGAGTGATGTTTGCTGAGGAGGAAGTGTGTGAGTGATGTTTGCTGAGGAGGAAGTGTGTGAGTGATGTTTGCTGAGGAGGAAGTGTGTGAGTGATGTTTGCTGATGAGGAAGTGTGTGAGTGATGTTTGCTGAGGAGGAAGTGTGTGAGTGATGTTTGCTGAGGAGGAAGTGTGTGAGTGATGTTTGCTGAGGAGGAAGTGTGTGAGTGATGTTTGCTGAGGAGGAAGTGTGTGAGTGATGTTTGCTGAGGAGGAAGTGTGTGAGTGATGTTTGCTGAGGAGGAAGTGTGTGAGTGATGTTTGCTGAGGAGGAAGCGTGTGAGTGATGTTTGCTGAGGAGGAAGTGTGTGAGTGATGTTTGCTGATGAGGAAGTGTGTGAGTGATGTTTGCTGAGGAGGAAGTGTGTGAGTGATGTTTGCTGAGGAGGAAGTGTGTGAGTGATGTTTGCTGAGGAGGAAGTGTGTGAGTGATGTTTCCTGAGGAGGAAGTGTGTGAGTGATGTTTGCTGAGGAGGAAGCGTGTGAGTGATGTTTGCTGAGGAGGAAGCGTGTGAGTGATGTTTCCTGAGGAGGAAGTGTGTGAGTGATGTTTGCTGAGGAGGAAGTGTGTGAGTGATGTTTGCTGAGGAGGAAGTGTGTGAGTGATGTTTGCTGAGGAGGAAGTGTGTGAGTGATGTTTCCTGAGGAGGAAGTGTGTGAGTGATGTTTCCTGAGGAGGAAGCGTGTGAGTGATGTTTGCTGAGGAGGAAGCGTGTGAGTGATGTTTGCTGAGGAGGAAGTGTGTGAGTGATGTTTCCTGAGGAGGAAGTGTGTGAGTGATGTTTGCTGAGGAGGAAGCGTGTGAGTGATGTTTGCTGAGGAGGAAGTGTGTGAGTGATGTTTGCTGAGGAGGAAGTGTGTGAGTGATGTTTGCTGAGGAGGAAGTGTGTGAGTGATGTTTGCTGAGGAGGAAGTGTGTGAGTGATGTTTGCTGAGGAGGAAGTGTGTGAGTGATGTTTGCTGAGGAGGAAGTGTGTGAGTGATGTTTGCTGAGGAGGAAGTGTGTGAGTGATGTTTGCTGAGGAGGAAGCGTGTGAGTGATGTTTGCTGAGGAGGAAGTGTGTGAGTGATGTTTCCTGAGGAGGAAGTGTGTGAGTGATGTTTGCTGAGGAGGAAGTGTGTGAGTGATGTTTGCTGATGAGGAAGTGTGTGAGTGATGTTTGCTGAGGAGGAAGTGTGTGAGTGATGTTTGCTGAGGAGGAAGTGTGTGAGTGATGTTTGCTGAGGAGGAAGTGTGTGAGTGATGTTTGCTGAGGAGGAAGTGTGTGAGTGATGTTTGCTGAGGAGGAAGTGTGTGAGTGATGTTTGCTGAGGAGGAAGTGTGTGAGTGATGTTTGCTGAGGAGGAAGTGTGTGAGTGATGTTTGCTGAGGAGGAAGCGTGTGAGTGATGTTTGCTGAGGAGGAAGTGTGTGAGTGATGTTTCCTGAGGAGGAAGTGTGTGAGTGATGTTTGCTGAGGAGGAAGTGTGTGAGTGATGTTTGCTGAGGAGGAAGTGTGTGAGTGATGTTTGCTGAGGAGGAAGCGTGTGAGTGATGTTTGCTGAGGAGGAAGTGTGTGAGTGATGTTTCCTGAGGAGGAAGCGTGTGAGTGATGTTTGCTGAGGAGGAAGCGTGTGAGTGATGTTTGCTGAGGAGGAAGTGTGTGAGTGATGTTTCCTGAGGAGGAAGCGTGTGAGTGATGTTTGCTGAGGAGGAAGTGTGTGAGTGATGTTTGCTGAGGAGGAAGTGTGTGAGTGATGTTTGCTGAGGAGGAAGTGTGTGAGTGATGTTTGCTGAGGAGGAAGTGTGTGAGTGATGTTTGCTGAGGAGGAAGTGTGTGAGTGATGTTTGCTGAGGAGGAAGTGTGTGAGTGATGTTTGCTGAGGAGGAAGTGTGTGAGTGATGTTTGCTGAGGAGGAAGTGTGTGAGTGATGTTTGCTGAGGAGGAAGTGTGTGAGTGATGTTTGCTGAGGAGGAAGCGTGTGAGTGATGTTTGCTGAGGAGGAAGCGTGTGAGTGATGTTTGCTGAGGAGGAAGTGTGTGAGTGATGTTTCCTGAGGAGGAAGTGTGTGAGTGATGTTTCCTGAGGAGGAAGTGTGTGAGTGATGTTTGCTGAGGAGGAAGTGTGTGAGTGATGTTTGCTGATGAGGAAGTGTGTGAGTGATGTTTGCTGAGGAGGAAGTGTGTGAGTGATGTTTGCTGAGGAGGAAGTGTGTGAGTGATGTTTGCTGAGGAGGAAGTGTGTGAGTGATGTTTGCTGAGGAGGAAGTGTGTGAGTGATGTTTGCTGAGGAGGAAGAGTGTGAGTGATGTTTGCTGAGGAGGAAGCGTGTGAGTGATGTTTGCTGAGGAGGAAGTGTGTGAGTGATGTTTGCTGAGGAGGAAGTGTGTGAGTGATGTTTGCTGAGGAGGAAGCGTGTGAGTGATGTTTGCTGAGGAGGAAGCGTGTGAGTGATGTTTCCTGAGGAGGAAGTGTGTGAGTGATGTTTCCTGAGAAGGAAGTGTGTGAGTGATGTTTGCTGAGGAGGAAGTGTGTGAGTGATGTTTGCTGAGGAGGAAGTGTGTGAGTGATGTTTGCTGAGGAGGAAGTGTGTGAGGGATGTTTGCTGAGGAGGAAGTGTGTGAGTGATGTTTCCTGAGGAGGAAGTGTGTGAGTGATGTTTGCTGAGGAGGAAGTGTGTGAGTGATGTTTGCTGAGGAGAAAGCGTGTGAGTGATGTTTGCTGAGGAGGAAGTGTGTGAGTGATGTTTGCTGAGGAGGAAGTGTGTGAGTGATGTTTGCTGAGGAGGAAGTGTGTGAGTGATGTTTCCTGAGGAGGAAGTGTGTGAGTGATGTTTGCTGAGGAGGAAGTGTGTGATGTTTGCTGAGGAGGAAGTGTGTGAGTGATGTTTGCTGAGGAGGAAGTGTGTGAGTGATGTTTCCTAAGGAGGAAGTGTGTGAGTGATGTTTGCTGAGGAGGAAGTGTGTGAGTGATGTTTGCTGAGGAGGAAGTGTGTGAGTGATGTTTGCTGAGGAGGAAGTGTGCGAGTGATGTTTGCTGAGGAAGTGTGTGTGTGATGTTTGCTGAGGAGGAAGTGTGTGTGTGATGTTTGCTGAGGAGGAAGTGTGTGAGTGATGTTTGCTGATGAGGAAGTGTGTGAGTGATGTTTGCTGAGGAGGAAGTGTGTGAGTGATGTTTGCTGAGGAGGAAGTGTGTGAGTGATGTTTGCTGAGGAGGAAGTGTGTGAGTGATGTTTGCTGAGGAGGAAGTGTGTGAGTGATGTTTGCTGAGGAGGAAGTGTGTGAGTGATGTTTGCTGAGGAGTAAGTGTGTGAGTGATGTTTGCTGAGGAGGAAGTGTGCGAGTGATGTTTGCTGAGGAGGAAGTGTGCGAGTGATGTTTGCTGAGGAGGAAGCGTGTGTGTGATGTTTGCCGTGGAGGAAGTGTGTGAGTGATGTTTGCTGATGAGGAAGTGTGTGAGTGATGTTTGCTGAGGAGGAAGTGTGTGAGTGATGTTTGCTGAGGAGGAAGTGTGTGAGTGATGTTTGCTGAGGAGGAAGTGTGTGAGTGATGTTTGCTGAGGAGGAAGTGTGTGAGTGATGTTTCCTGAGGAGGAAGCGTGTGAGTGATGTTTGCTGAGGAGGAAGTGTGTGATTGATGTTTGCTGAGGAGGAAGTGTGTGAGTGATGTTTGCTGAGGAGGAAGCGTGTGAGTGATGTTTGCTGATGAGGAAGTGTGTGAGTGATGTTTGCTGAGGAGGAAGCGTGTGAGTGATGTTTGCTGAGGAGGAAGCGTGCGAGTGATGTTTGCTGAGGAGGAAGCGTGTGTGTGATGTTTGCCGTGGAGGAAGTGTGTGAGTGATGTTTGCTGATGAGGAAGTGTGTGAGTGATGTTTGCTGAGGAGGAAGTGTGTGAGTGATGTTTGCTGAGGAGGAAGTGTGTGAGTGATGTTTGCTGAGGAGGAAGTGTGTGAGTGATGTTTGCTGAGGAGGAAGTGTGTGAGT